TAGTTAAAAGTAAAAGTAATAGTTCTTAAAAATGGTCTTTGGAATAATTTTAAACCAAAAAGTTGTCATTTATATGCTGTAGTCTTTAATGGGATTTCTAAATTTTGTTTGAGTCTGTATAGATTTCAGTCTTTAAAGGGCACAAATATTCAAATTATTGCTGGTAAGAAAAACATTTCAAGCTGTGCCTGTATGGCATCATGTAGAGTCTTTACCTTGCATACATAAACTATTTTTGAAGATATATTTTGATTTGTTTTTTCTCTTTCTCCTCTAGCGATGATTAAAGCTGAAGAAAACAGGTATGTTTTTAATGGTCTGCCAATGTTTTTTACTTCAAGCTGCCTGTTTCCTAAAAATGAGATCTGTTCCTTGAATCTTAAGTCATTCTCCTTGCAGCTTTAAATTCCAAATAGTGGCTTAATATATAAACACTGGAAGAATGTGTTCTAGGTCCCTTTGTAACTGAAGGGACTGATACACAGTTCCAGTCAAGTTTTTATTTTCTCTGAGCTAAGATGGGTTTGTGTTCTTCTGAGAAGTCTTTGTAACTGCACCTAGACCTGTCATTTCCCACTGTATTAACTTTACTAACTTGTTTAAACAGCGGGTTGCTCTCAACCACTAAGTTGTCTCATGCTTGTGTGTGACTGTCCCTGGTTTTGACCCCTGTAGCGTCAAGCCTGACGACTCCACTCCCACAACGGCTGCTTCAGCTGCTGAGGCAACAAACACAACCACCACAGCCACCACTGCTGCTGAAACAGCTGCAGCTGCGACCACCACCACTGCTGCTGCTGCAGCACCAGCAGCCTCGGAAGGGGAATCTGCTGCAGCCTCTTCTGGGGCAGAAAACGAGAATTCTGGCACGGCAACGGCTGAGGAGCAGGGACAAGCAGCTTCTGCACCTGCTGGGCAGGACCAGAGTGGAGAAGCTGCAGCTAATGCAGCAGATGACTCTTCCAAGCAAGAGGCCTCAGGAGAGTAAGTGAAATTACAAAGCACGTGGCTTTGCTGCAGCTTTGTGTTTCTTGTAGGATCTGGTTTATCTTCAGTTGTAGGTGGCCAGGCTGCTTTGGCAGTGAGCTATTTCTTCAGTGAAATGTGAGCATGAATCATAGAATCAGAGAATCCCAGACTGGTTTGGGTCAGAAGGGACCTTAAAGATCACCTAGGGACACCTCCTACTAGACCAGGTTGCTCCAAGCCCCATCCAATTGCCCTTGAACACTTCCAGGGATGGGGCAGCCACAGCTTCCCTGGAAAACCTGTTCCAGTGCCTCACCACTCTGACAAGAGTTTATTCCTCCCCCTCATGTCATTCTCAGACACAGGCTGGCTTTTTGGTACAGTTTTAGCTGAAGCAGATACATAACCCAGAGAATTACTGATCAGTGATTCACATCTTGCTAAATTATAAGCAACTAGAACCAGGGTCTTAGACTGGCAAGAGTGGAACAGTAAGAAAGAAAGAAGTATTAAATCTCTTTTTAGAAAAATTATTGCCCTCCCCTTGCCAGCCCTCTCCCAAAGCTCTCAAACTCTACAGAGGACATGAGTAGCATTGAACATTCCATAAATTTTCCATGGCTCTAAAGGTTTCCCAGGGTAACATTATATACTTACCCTGCATGTTTCCTCTTCAGACCTGTGCAATTGGCTGTCCTTAGAAGGAAGTGCAATCCTAAACACACCTTCATGTGTTCCACCAGAAATGAGATCCTTTGGCTTTTCATAATGGAGAATTATGTGGAGAATTAGAGCTTGTGATTTTTATAATTCAAACAACAAAGAAACATGCTGTGAGGGACTACAGCCAGCAGGGCATAATTTAGAGCAAAAGGTCTATTTTTAGGGACTCTGCTATACATTTTTATATCACATCTAAATTAAAATATTCCTGCTAAATTTCAACGTTAGATTTTTATGAATAATTTCTAGGTAACTTGAGCAGGTGGCCAATTGCATAAGAGAGAATATTTTTCTGCAGTAGTTTGCTTTTATTAATCAGTCTTGTGTGGTGTCTGTAAGGAAGAGTCTTGTACAAACTGTGCTGTTTCTCATGTGTTACATTGATACTTTCCTTTGAGTTGCCATTTTAAAGACATGGTCTCTCTGGTTATTGTGGTTTATGACCCTTCAGTGGCTCTAACTTAGGACAACAATTGCTGAAATAATTAAATCACTGATTTTTGTGTCTAGTGCTGCTTCAAAGAAGGAGGATGAAGATGCCCAACCAGTTAAAAAAACCTACACCTGGAATACAAAGGAAGAAGCAAAGCAAGCATTTAAAGAGCTGTTAAAAGAAAAGGTATTTCAGTCAATTACTCTTAATGCTTTAAAGAGCTAAAAAACCTGCATTTGCCAGAAATTGCTGGATCTTCTTGTGTGTGTATGAAGAGTTTGTCACTGGTGTGGAAGAGGACTTTTGTACTAGACAAAAAACGGGGAAGACACTTACTTATCTTTGTTTTAAAGGTGGGGATGAAATGGGAGCAAAATGAGGCTTTGGCTTTCCCTCTGAGTGTATGGAATCTGTGTTTTGTGTGGAGGGTCAATATAGTTGTGTAGGAGACAAACTTCCAGAAGAATTTACTGTAGAAATGGCAATAATCCCCAAAGTTCCTTGTTTCAGTTTCCTTGTTGACTGTTAATATTATATTGTTTTTTTAATTGTGACATCAGAATGTTTTCTTAACCTCAAAAGCTTAGTGCCTGTTTTTTTTTTTTCCCCTAAGGGCTATTTTGTAAGGAATTGGTCATTGTTGGATGTTGATTCCAAATCTAATTAGTTAATGATTTCATTTTTTCACAGCGAGTACCGTCCAATGCTTCTTGGGAGCAAGCTATGAAAATGATCATTAATGATCCTAGATACAGGTACTGCTTCATTCTTTCCTCCTTAAACTTCTACACAAATACCTGCCATAACTCTTTATTATTTTAGTAAACATTTGTGCATCTGTGAATGTGTAGCATTGTCAGGGAACTCTGTTCCTTGCAAGAAATGCAAGTCCTAGCCTGATTTTTTCATTTGGAGAAGATGTGATTCTTTGGTTTTGTTTTTTTCATTGAATTCCCTTTTGTATAATTGACTTTGTTGTTTCCTTTTTCTTTGGCATGAAGTGCTTTGGCAAAATTAAGTGAAAAAAAGCAAGCCTTTAATGCTTACAAAGTTCAAACAGAGAAAGAAGAGAAAGAAGAAGCAAGATCCAAATACAAAGAAGCTAAGGAATCCTTCCAGCGTTTCCTTGAAAACCATGAGAAGATGACATCCACTACAAGATACAAGTAAGAGCAGTAAGAAATGGAGTTCCAGCCTTTTAAGGTTGCCATGTTAATCATAATCAAGTGTTGCTCTTAGGGAATGCTAACCTTAATATGTGCTCAGCCTGCAAAAGCCATATATTCACATTTTTTAACTGTTTCCTTTGTTTATAAAAGATAAAAAGATGGCACAGAAAATGTTTCCCAAGATTGAAAATGAGGGTGATGTCCTAAGAAAGCTTTGCTACTTACAAGCCAGTTCATGAATGCTACTGTAAGCTGATGGGGCAATTTAAGCTGATGTTCACCAGTAAATGGTTGTATGCTTTTTTTTTTTGCTTTGTACAGAAAAGCTGAACAAATGTTTGGGGAGATGGAAGTCTGGAATGCAATCTCTGAGCGTGACCGTCTTGAAATTTATGAAGATGTCTTGTTTTTCCTGTCTAAGAAAGAAAAGGTAACTTTCTTTCAAACTTACCTTTTCACTTGTTATCTGTAAATTAGTTTCTGGCTCTTAGGAAGGAAATCCTACAAGCCATGCAGTTCAGAGTGTTGTTCAGGGACAGTCACAAAGGGGAGGGATCTGCAGGAAAGGCCTGGAGAAGCATCTGATAACGCTGCTGCACTCCTGTGGAGCATACACTGCTTATGGGTTTCAGGTCAGCTTACCCTCTCCAAAGGGAGAGGGAAAAGAAGGGAAGGGGAACTATGAGACACTATGGATAGGGAGCTCCAGTTTGGCAAGTTGTGATGGGTCCAGGGACCAAGGAAAAAAGCATTGGTGGAAGTCTTCAAAACTGTGACTGGTTTTGTTGAGGTGAATTTGGAGACGTTGTTCCTTATTTCTCATTGTACAGTACATGAGGGGTATGGGATGGAGTTAGCAGGGAGATGAACAGATTCTGTTCCTGCACAGTACACAGCTGCAGCAGTGGGACTGACTGCTGCAGGGTAACATTTTGGAGAGCAGGGTTTCCTGAGAAGCCATCTCTCTGGCACTGGGCAAGCATGTTGGGAGCAGCTGGCTCTGGTTAACTCTCCCTGGTTCGTTGCAGTCTGCCAGGCAACCCCTGGCTTGTCTGTGTGTGGCAGATACCACAGCAGTTCCTTTGAAAGGTCTTTGTTTTCATTGACATTTTATTGTTAATTTTGCAATGTGCTCCATTTCTAGTATGCAAAAATTGCATGTAGGTCCAAATGGTATTGCACTGCTTTATGTGTAAATGAAAGGTTAGTTTTGTGTTTTCTTGGAGAACAAACTTGAGGGGTTGTGTGTTTCTGTCTGTACAAAACTAAGAAAGAAAATGCATTTTCTGCTCAGGAACAAGCCAAACAGTTAAGGAAGAGGAACTGGGAAGCTCTGAAGAACATACTAGATAATATGGCTAATGTCACTTACTGTACTACTTGGTCAGAGGCTCAGCAGTATCTGATGGACAATCCTACATTTGCAGAAGATGAGGAACTTCAGAGTATGTAAAACATCCATGTGTTTCTTTTGGAAGATGGGGTGGGTTTCTCTTCAGCAATGGAGGCTCCTGACTGGGTCTGGCTTCCTCTTGCCCAGTCCTGAGCAGCTATAGGAGCTGCTGAGCAGACTTGTGTAGAGGATCCTGTCTTGTTTAGTTCCTAGGAAGCAGAATCAGCTTCACAAGTCATGACTGATTCATCTTAATGATAAAGCAAAGGATAACCTTTTTGTGGGGATTGAACTGCCTTAGGGATTGTTGCCTTTGAAATGTGAAGTAGTATTTGACAATGCAATCTGTGTTGCAGTTGCTTACCCCACCTTCTGCTCCAGTGAGACCCTGCTGTGTTTGCTTCCCTAGGGAAGTGACTGGGTTTACTTAGCTGGAGTCAGAGGCAGTTTCTCCATGATGAGCACACGTTTCTTACAAACGAGCTGGTGCTGTGTTTGAAGAGCACTGTGTCCACTGACACAGCTGCTGAAGCACTGGACAGAACGCTCTCTGTTCTGCCCTCTGTGTTTTTAAGACACCTGTGGCAGTGTGGGGAGATGCACCAGTGCTCACACGTGGTGTTTTCTCACAGAGGCTGCTGGGCTCTGGTTTGGCAGGGATCATTTCTCCAGGCTGGGTTCTGCTGCTGTGCAGATCACCTGGTGTGTCAGTGCTCAGTGAGGCTTCCTCCTGCAGGGCAACTGGCAGCCAGCTCTTCTCTCACAGGAACTGAACACAGTGAGTGGGGAGAAATACCTGATTGTCACTCTTGTTATCTGTTGCTAGACATGGATAAGGAGGATGCGCTGATCTGTTTCGAGGAACATATCAGGGCACTGGAAAAAGAGGAGGAAGAAGAAAAACAGAAGAGTTTGCTTAGAGAAAGGAGGCGGCAGCGCAAGAACAGAGAATCCTTCCAGGTTGGTGGGCTTCCTTGTCCTGTCCTGGCCACACCTGGCTCAGGTGTTCTGTGCAGTTTTTATTTCTTGGGGTAGGCTAATGGGTATGTGTAAGGTGTCAGCTATCAGGGCTGTGGCATTTTGTCTGCTGTGTCCTACATCTGTTTGCCAGGAAGCTGCAGGAGTGGGGGGAAAGTCAAGGGAAATGGGTCTGAGCAGAAGGGAAGTGCAGTGGGAACACTGCAGGTGGTGGAGGAAGGCAGGAAGAAGCAACAATGTATAAAACTACTTTTCAGTTGTGATTTAACAAACTGGAGTTCCAGTTACCAGAAGTATCCATTCCAGCTGTTAGCCAAGCAAAAGTATGATGAGTGACAACAAATTGCCATTTGACTTGTGTTTTGTAGCTATTTTTAGATGAGCTGCACGAGCATGGCCAACTACATTCCATGTCCTCTTGGATGGAGTTGTACCCAACCATCAGCTCTGACATCAGATTCACCAACATGCTTGGTCAACCTGGTAAGAACACTGTCCCTTCCAGCCCTGTAGAAAGAAAGGTACAGGTCTTGGATTTGGGGCAGAACAAAGCAGGGTTGTTTGTATGTTTTCTAAATGCCTAAAAAAATGCAGCTCTTTTATTAGAGCTAGCTTTTGACTTATCTAGTTTTTTCATCAGGATCAACAGCACTTGATCTTTTCAAGTTCTATGTTGAAGACTTGAAGGCACGTTACCATGATGAAAAGAAGATAATAAAGGATATCTTAAAGGTGAGAGGGGACAGTGCTCCATTGTGGGGCTGCCTTCTTTTAATGCCAAGTGTATCGTTCAAGTGAACTCTTTGCTCCTGGGAGATGGGATTTCAGTTTGTGTTAATGTCATGTGCCTGAGCTCCTGGCCTGCCTGATGCCAAAGAAGCAATTTTCTTACAGGATAAAGGGTTTGTGGTGGAAGTCAATACATCTTTTGAAGATTTTGTTACGGTCATCAGTTCAACTAAAAGAGCTACTACTTTAGATGCAGGAAATATCAAGCTGGCTTTCAACAGTGTAAGTATTAATACATAGGAGTGCTCAAACTTATGAAATCTCTTGTCAAAACAAGAACTGGCATTTCTTTTCAATCTATTGCTGTGGCTGCTTTCATAATATTTGAGAGAGGTGCTGTGCTTTATTGTTGCTTATCCTCAAATCAGTTCCCCAAAGACAGATTGCAGAGGTGTATCTTTCTTGAAAACATAAACATTTCAACTTGGGAAATTCTGTGCTGGGAATTAAGGAATGTTCTCTCCTATATTTGTGACTTTTCTCTTGAGGGATTTTTGGTGTGTGTTTCTGTAATCATTGCATTGCATGATGCATTAACTCTGTTGGGGGAGGGACTTTTGACAAGCTTGTAGGGAGAGCATGAGGGGTCATGGATCAGAGCTGGAAGAGGGGACATTTAGGTGAGACATTAGGAGGAAATTCTTCAATGTGGGGGTGCTGAGACACTGAAACAGGTTGCCCAGGGAAGCTGTGGCTGCCCCATCCCTGGCAGTGTTGAAGGGCAGGTTGGATGGGGCTTGGAGCAGCCTGGGCTGGTGGGAGGTGTCCCTGCCCATGTAGTGGGTGGAACTAAATGACCTTTAAGGTCCCTTCCAACCCAAACCAGTCTGGGATTCTAAGATTCTCTGATTCTATTTTAGATTCTATTTGAGATCAGAAATTGCTTGCTGTAAAAAATAAGTAATTGGTTAATTTTCCTGTATGCCCAAGTAGAAAACTCCAAAGGTGAACTGTTTGGCTTCCCAAAAACTGCAGTCAGCTGAAGTCTTTATGAATGGTTCACTTTGATACCTTCCAAATGATCTCATGGCTTGTCTGTGCTCTAGCTGCTAGAAAAGGCAGAAGCCCGTGAGAGAGAGAGAGAAAAAGAAGAAGCTCGCAAGATGAAGAGGAAGGAGTCTGCCTTCAAGAGCATGTTGAAACAAGCTACTCCTCCCATTGAGCTGGATGCTGTCTGGGAAGATGTAGGTATCACACCGAGTTATCAGTGTCTCTCCAGATGCCCTGAGCAGGCTGCTGCATGCTCATGTGTTTCTGAGTCAACCTGGATTCTCTTGAGCTCTTAGTGGTTTTGGTAATACAGCTTAGACCTGGAAAAATCATCCTGTCATTCAGTGAGATTTGATGTGAATAACTTCAGTCATAATTTCATTTGAACACAATTTAAAACAAAACCATACAACCCTTTAAGCCGACCAACCAACAAACACCACCACCCCCAAACAATAATCACATGAGGCCCCCAGACTTCATGTAATTTTGTCCTGGTTAAGATAACCTTTAAAATCTGTCCTCTCAGAGTGTGCTTTGTATCAAGAAGCTGGCTTTAAGAAGTTCAGCCTTGTAAGGACAATAGGAAATGGGCTCCAGTTGTGCCAGGGGAGGTCTAGATTGGATATTAGGAAAATTTTTTTCACTGCAAGGGTAATTAAACACTGGGACAGGCTGCCTAGGGAGGTGGTTGAGTCTCCATCCCTGGAGGTGTTTGAGAGACATGTAGATGTGGTGCTGAGGGACAGGGTTTAGCACTGGACTGGGTAGAGTTTGGTTATGGTTGGTTGAGTTGAGTTATAGTTGGTAGAGTTGGGTAATGGTTGCTAGAGTTGAGCTAATGATTGTTGGACACTGTGATCTTAAAAGGTCTTTTCCAACCAGAAAGATCCTGTGCTTCTGTAACTGCACAATGGCTTTTTCAGTCATGACAATCATATGTCCTATATCATTATTGCTTTTATGTCTGAATGGCTGTATTTCACATTAATATTTCATTCCCATTTTTCTTACAGATCAGAGATAGATTTGTGAAGGAACCAGCATTTGAAGACATCACTCTGGAGTCTGAAAGAAAAAGAATATTTAAAGATTTCATGCATGTACTAGAGGTAATTATTATTTTATTTTTTCCTGATTAGAGAATATACAAAAAAATTCCTAGTTGATTTGCCCTTCAATTCTTTGGGAAGGGAGAGGGATTTACCAGAATTCTGCTGATTCCTGCCACAGTGGGCATTGTGTGTTACCTAAAAGCAATGGATATTAAAACCTCATCTTGAAAGTAAGGAACTGAAGAAACATGCTACAGTTATTTGATGTTGTTTGATACCTATTTGTTCTTTTACTCTGCTTCCCTACAAGCCTTTTCAGAAGGTGGTATCAACATTCCCTGGTTTATTTTAGAAAAGTGGTTTATTGCTGTGTTTTCATACAGAAAGTGATGGAATTGGAAATAGAACTTCTGCAGTATTTTACTCACTACACATCTGGAACTTTAAGAACATGCTAAGCACTGCAGATGTCCTTTTTTTGCTTTTTACTGCAGCCAGTTCTGCTGCTGTGCCTGAGGAGGAGGATGTGGTTTGGTTTCAGTCCTGATTTTTGGCTGGGCCATGGCACGAGTGAAGCTGCAGCAGTTTCAACCAGGCATTCTTGTTGAATAAGGAGCTGGTTTTCCCTAGACAGTGAGACCTGATTTTGCAGCACGTAATCTTTGGGGTTTTTTTTTGTTTCCTTTTCTGGAGTTTGCAAGGAATTTTTGAAGTGGCTTCATTTCAGAGCATCACATTTGGCAAAGCCAGGCAGGCAGTGTGTCCCAGGCCATCTCCCATCTTTACCTGGGAAGCACTGGGATCCAGGCAGCAGAAGCTGTGTCTCCTGCTTCCTAGGTGCTTGTTAGTACAACCTTAACGTGGCAATACTGGGTTTGGACACAATAAATGTGTGGCTTGTTTTTTATTCTTACCCACTTGTCCTGGTTTAGTGGTCAGGGCAAACCAAAACCAGAGGGCAGAATTGCTCCCTCTTCACCCCTCCAACCTCCCAAGGGTGGATAAAAGGGGAATAAGGAAGAGAGACTTAAAGGTTGGAAATTGAAACTGGAACAAATTGGCTGTAACACAGAAAAGGGAGTAACGTGTTGGGGAAAGAACAGGTTTATAAACCTAGACAAAATGGATCTCGAGGATGGCAGGAGGAGATGGGTGAGGGTCTCTTGGGGCAAGGCTGGCTCAGGAGAGGGGCCCATGGCTCCTCACACCTGATGGAGTTGGATTCTGGAGAGCACCTGGCAAGCTGGAGCAACCTCTGAGCAGCAGCAAGGAAGAAGGCACAGGAAGAAAAAGGGGGATGAGCTTCTAGTTCTCCTGGCTTGCATAGAGGATGGCAGGAGGTGGGAGGAAATCCTGACCCCTCTGTGTTCTGGCCCTCCCAGGTGCTTTAGGGGCCTAAAGACCCTCTCTCTAGTTCCTCTTACAGGCATCAACACCCTGCCAGGCCACTTAAACCACTGTGAGACATGGATGCCTTTGTGGCTGATGAGAATCACCCTGACAGTTCCTTGCTGCATCCTGTAGACCACTGGTAATCTTTGTCTTTTCTTGTCCTCCAGCACGAGTGTCAGCATCATCACTCCAAGAACAAGAAACATTCTAAGAAGTCCAAAAAGCATCACAGGAAGCGATCGCGTTCCCGCTCGGTGAGTGTTTCACAGTGCCTTCAAATCCACTCCTGTCACTGCTGCTGATCCTGTCACCTTGCTAATAATAATAATCCCCCCTGGATTTGTGCCCCAAGGGCTCAGAGTCTGAGGACGACGACAGCCATTCCAAGAAGAAAAGGCAACGTTCAGAATCCAGATCGGCCTCGGAGCGTTCTTCCAGCGCAGAATCCGGTACGGGATCTGCTTGGTGTTGGCTTTGAACAAAAGCCATTGTTGGCTTTTAGCTGAGGGCTGAGGTTTGACTGCAGGGTCTTCACCATTGTCCTGCTTTTGTTTCTCCCCTGTGTCTGCAGAGAGAAGTTACAAGAAGTCGAAAAAACACAAGAAAAAGAGCAAGAAGAGAAGACATAAGTCTGTAAGTGCGGTTGACTTCCTTTGAGTTCACAATTTGGCACCTGATGGGTTCAATAATCCTTTTTAGGTGTCTGGGATGATCCAGCCAGCTTGGTAAGAGGGACTGTGTGAGGAGGGTACTGGGAACACAGGAACTTTCTGTTTGATGCACCTTTATATTAAACCATTTAGGACTGCTGAATGTGGGGGTTTTAACTGCAGCTGGGCAAGCAGATGGAAAGGGCTGTACTAGTATCCTGGTGGTTGCTGTTTATCATGGCAAGTCTTTGGCATTCCCTCTCCCTGGGGGAATCCCTGCCCACCTTCTCCTTTTGCCTTCTGCTGAGCATCATTCCCTGTGTTTCTGTTTTAAGATCACTCCCAAAATGCATAGGAAAGGACCAGGTCTAGGAAAGAGACATTGTTATTTGTTGCAGGTCTGTACACAGCTGGGTGCTTGGTGCCTTCCCACAAATCCAGCACCCAAATTGAGATTTTCCATGACATTTATATACAAAACTATTGAGTTAGTAAGTTTCCAAGTCCATCCTCCCTGTAGTGATTGGTCAGTGATTTACCCAGAGTTATCTTATGGTTACATCACTATTTCAACTGTCACACATGCTCAGGTGAAGTGTCTTCAGCAGGGGTCTTTATGACCTGGGGGTGTGATTTTTAGTGTTATAATGACATGATAATGAGCTAAGTTCACCTGAAGGACACAATATCACAACTTCTGCAGCTCCAACTGCCCCAGACTGGTTTGGCCATCAGTCTTCTTGATTTTGGTTGTTCTTAATCACCCCCTGCATTCCTTAGTTCCAGTTATCTGTATACACCTCAGGTCTCCTCTGCCAAGTTGGTGATGTACATGAGACACTCCCTGAACCTCCTGATGACTCCTGGTTACTGCAGGATGCCCTTGCTCAGTTCTGCCTGTGGCACCAGCTGTGCCTCAGACTGCAGTTTTCCCTTGTGTGTATTTATACAGAACACATTTTGCGCAAAATAACCTCAGCATTCTACATCCCTGAGTCATTTTCCAATGCCTGTGTGTGCCTGAGTGTCAGGGCTGCGTCAGAAACTCTGACATGGAATGCACTGGAGCACCCAAAGGACCTCAGAGCAGGAGGGAACTTCCACTCGAGCACTTCAGGCCCAAGAGTACTTTTTTCCCCCTGGGTAAAGAAAGCAGTTTGAGTCTCTGAACTCAAAACTCTCAAACTGAAGAATTCTTCTGTAATTTCTGAGCAGTGGGCAGTGTTCCCAAGGAGGGAACAGTGACTGTTAGCCCTGGGGTCAGATGTGAGCATCAAAGGGCTGGGACAAAACCAGGGCCACATCAGCTTAACAATACTGTGGAATAAACCCACAGTTGTGCCACCTGATCCCTCACAGTGAGGTTAATGCCCAGGATAGAAGCCCAGCAGCCTTAAAGCATGCAGGTATGGCTGAGCAGCCATGAAGCCAAAGAATCTTTCCCAGATTTCACCCTCTCCAGAGATCTTGTGGAATCAGTGGCATTTGTGCAGGGAAGAGGTTTGATGTAGGACATCCAGGGTGACCCCTCTGGGCAGGGAGAGAGACTGGGGAATGTTCTGTAGGGAACAAACCTCTCTCCCTTTTGCTTTTCACATCACTTCAGTGATGTTTTTGCAGTACTTAGTTTACAGTGCAGGATGTGCTTGATTACTAACCACTTGGAGCATGTGGTCTGTATTTAAATGAAGTCAGACTTTTCTGAGGTGTGGTTATTCTGCAAATTAATATTTGAAATATTTAATATGAATCTTTTCCCCCTTTCTTTACACAGGATTCACCAGAGTCAGATGTTGAGCGAGAAAAAGACAAAAAAGAAAGAGAGAGAGATGGTGAGAAGGACAGAGCAAGACAGAGATCTGAATCAAAGCATAAATCTCCTACTAAAAAGCGGCCTGGAAAAGATTCTGTGAGTTTCCCTGTTTCCTCTTTATCTGCTTTGGGCTCCATGTACCTGCAGGGTGCTAAGTTTCCCTGTTTCCTCTTTATCTGCTGCTTTGGGCTCCATGTACCTGCAGGGTGCTAGGGTGGGGTGTTTTGTATAAGGTGCTAGAGCTCTGTTTATGTCCCATTTACGGATGAAAAGGGCCAAGTGCTCAAGCAGAGCTGCACCATACAGGTCCTGTTCCCTCATTTAGTGGCTTTTTATCGATCTGTGAAATTGCTGTTGGATGAAATGCTCCTTCTTGCTGCTCCCTGGTGTGAAGGGGGAGTGAGGCACCTTGTTCTAAGGCACAGCTGCAGCCTGGCCTGTGCTGGGGCACAGTCATGTTCCTGACTGAGCTGCCCTTCTCTTCTCCAGCCAGTTGGCCAGACTGGGCTCAGCAGAGCTGGGCAGCACAGCTGGCTGAACACTGGAGGGACCACGGCACCATCCCAGGGTGCTGGAAAATCCCAGTGGAACAAGAGTTCCACAATCCTTGCACTCTTCAAGTTGGGAAGTCCTGTGGGAGCATGTCACTGCAGCCCTGCTGTTTGCTGGGGAGCTGCTGTGTGTAGCTTGTTTTGGAAGGGGCTTAGAGCAGTAGTGTCCAAGGCATGTAAAAGATTTCTTTTGGTCCAGCACCTTTGAGATCTCTGTGTGGGGGGGAATTCCTTGCCCTGCTCTGGTTGGTTAAATTGTAGTGGTGTCCTGGATAATGCCCCCAGGGTCTCACCATCCAAGAGGAGATGGGAGGACACATACCTGCTTTTTATATCTCAAAATAAGCTGCTGTGGCCTCCAGATGCCTTTGAAAAAAAACAGTTACCCTGGTATAGCATGGCAGTGTCTTGTTGAGAACATGAACTGGTGTGGTTCAG